ATAGATAGATAGATAGATAGATAGATAGATAGATAGATAGATAGATACTTTATTGATCCCCAAGGGGAAATTCAAGCATTTACCTCTTTTAAAAAAGATTTTTTTTCTGTTTAGTGATGTGTTTGGTTGTTATACTCCTATTTACTGTTTACGAGGCACCAAATTCACCATTTCAATCGTCTGACCCGATTTGGCTTCACTCAAAAGGCGTCTGCGTGTGTCTTTAGGTTTGACCCGGAGCCTGGAGTCAGTCCTGAGTGGCCATCGGCCCCGGGCTCAGACGGTGGGTGCGGTCAGGGTGGACCAGCAGGGCCGACTCATGCCCCCCGCGATGGCCGCCCACAGCGTGGTCATGCCGCAGGACCCTCGCCGCTTCAGCGAGGCCAGCATCGTGCCCCCGCCCCGCCCGCCGCCCCCCAACCTGAAGCGCCTGAACGTGAAGGTCCCCAGGAGACCCACGGTCCACCCGAGCCCGGGCGGCTCCTGGCCGCCTCAGATGGGCCAGTCGCCGCCGGCAACGGCTCCGGGCCAGCAGCAGCCGGCAGCTCAGCAGAGCCCCGGGGGCTCCAACCTGGCCAAGATGGCCCAGCTGGCCCGCTCCACCCCGCAGCTGGACGAGGACCCCAAAGAGAGGGAGCGAATCCGAGATCGGGACAAGGCCTCTAACTTGCAGAGCATGAGAGACAGCCTCGTTGGACAGGTACGGGGTGGTTTTTAATTACCGTTTCGTTAAAAAATCAATTGTAAAATTCCGTGCAAGGCTGTACTGAGAGGATTTCCTCTGCTCAGGTCATGGAGGCAGTCCACGGAGTGACCATCGAAGAGGTCCAGAGTGCTCTGCAGCGCAACGACTGGAACCCAGTGCGGGCCGAGCAGCAGCTCAAGGTTCGAGATCGTAAAGCCACCGTCAACACACACAGAAAAGGAGTTTATGAATAGAGACCAAAGCCTAAAGCTTTATATTAAACTAAAGGGCAGGTGAAAAGGGGGAATTTCTTAATGGACAATATCAACAATCAGATCCAGCTTTCTGGTTTCTGCTGGCAAAATATTTATTTGCAGTCAAATCAGATGCAGTGAAACAAACAGGTGGAGTAAACTAAGCACAGCATGAACTTTGTTTGTAACTCGCTCCCATAAAACGGCAGCATGTGACTATCCGGAGATCATTTGTTTTCCGTCCACTTTATGCTAAAGCGTTTCCCTTTGAGGGCGCTTGGGTCGTAAAGTCATAAAGTGCATGTGTTCTGTGGGTGTGTCGGCTTCGGTGGAAATGTTTTGCTTGCGTTTTGTTCCGGGCTTTAAAGCCGGTGGGCCGTTCTGTGGCGATAACATGTCGACTAAAGTTTCCTCCATACTCCAAAGATGTGCATTTCAGGATCATTTATCAGCCTGATTTGGTTATGGCTGCTTGTGAATTTGCATGGTAACTGTCATCAGCTCTGGAAAGATGTTGACTCCAGCTCATCTGAGTCTGTGAGATAACCATGAACAGTTACTCCCCCTCAAACATGACACTGACATTTAGTCTCCCCTCTTGTTTTACCAGGTAGAAACTAATGACGTGTCCCTGGTTGTTTGAGAGCTTTCTCTGAGCCTTGTGTGCTTCTCTCCTCAGCTGGGGCAGCTGTACTCGCTGAGCCTCTGTTCCAGAGAGGACTGCCTGAGGGTCCTGTGCAGGCACCAGTGGAACCTGCAACTGGCCAGCCGCTATCTGATCAGGTGGTTCCGGGAGGACAAACCCGGCCCCGAGGAGAGGGAGCGGCCTGCGATCACCACCGAGAGACGGGTCTGAGGATATCTTTCGCTGACCCTCGGCTGACCGTTTCTCGCCTTTTCCGCCCGGCGTCGTGCTTTACGGGGACACATTTCAGCACGTGGAGCAGCTGGGAACGGCTCAAAGATGAAGGACGAATGTGCAACTGCAGACATTTTTCATTACAGGAATTTTTCTAAGAAGAGTTCAAGTTCCCGACTACCGTTTTTATGTTCTTAACATCACTCAGCACCATGTTTTGTTTTGTTTTTGTACCTGAAACTGTGTGTATTTGTACATATATTGTATTAGAAATAGTTTTTTTTAAATAAAAGTTATGGTAGCATCCACCATGTGACGGCAACAGTTGCCGTCATATCTTGTTTTTTACATGAGCTGCACAGGATGTGTGTGTGGTCACAGATAGCAGGTTGCTGCTCAGTGGGCTGAAACGAACCGCACCACCGTTTAAAGGCTGGCTGTGCCGTTTCAAAGCCCCTTTACTTGTTTTCCGCAGTGTTTACATCAGATTTAGTAATTTGAGTAATTCTGCCTTCAAGTTAGAAGTAGAGAAAAAAAATCAGCTTTTGTTCTGTATTTACAGAATTTCATAAAAGTTTAGACCCCAGCATGGAACACCATGTATTGTACTGTTTTGGTACACCGAGTAACTTCTATGTAAGAGATTTAAACGTTATTTCTGTGTATTTACGGCCCACAGTGGTGAATCATGACTGTGCACAACCTAATTTGTATACCTTGCTAATCTTCTGAAATATTTCTGTCTGTAGTAAATGTAAAACCTTAAATGGTCCAAAAAGTTTGCGCTCCTTCAGTTTTTCACCCATTTTCTGTGCGGCAACCAGCTGCAAAGGAAAGGAGACGATTCCTGTATATTAAAAAAAATAAACGCCCAACAATTAGGTTTTGTTGAAGGGTTAATTACTGAGTTTTTTCCCAGGAGTAACTCCTTTAGATGAACATGTGCTGACATGTTTCTGCTAAATATGTGTTCTTCTGTCGTGCTTCCAGCAGGTGGAGCAGTGGCACAGCTGCTGTCATCGTGCCAAAAGGGGGGGCTGGGTGGGGGGTTTCCTCTCTTCTGTACCTTATCTTTCTGTAAATATTAACAGTTCCATGTGAGCGGGTAACAGGACGGAGGTAGTGGGTCGCATAAAGTCGGGCCTGACTTTGGACTAAGTGTGGCCCAGAGAATGGAAGCACACAGATGAAATCCAGATGTTCCCCGTTCAGGCGGAGCTCTGCAGAACCGCCCCTAAGCTTCCATTTCCCAGCAGCATCACAAGAGACCAGCACAACACAGCGATGCCTGCAGAGGTTCGTGACATCTGTTTTATTTAGAAAAACAAAAAGTACAGTCACAGAATGATAAACAGAAGACTAGAGAACGGCACACATGCTCAAATACAACACGGAACATTCTGCATCTCAAACGGAGCAAAATAAAAATGATTTAAAGACCGTATATGTCGTCTTTTCATAGATGGCAGATTACTGGTCAGTGCACTTTTAACACATGTAATAACTGGCATTAATGATGTCTACAAGAGAGATAACTGCTGGCGCTGGACACATCCTCAGCTGGACAACAACAGAAAACAAGAACAAAGCAGGGCAGCAATCCTGCTAATATTCACCTGCTTTTTTATTATTCTATAGCAGTTTAAAGCACACAGAGTCAAAGTTCAAATTCCGGTCTCTTTTTTTGAGACACTACACTGGCATGACGGTTTCCTGGAGCTGCTCCCCGGTGTGATTTCTAAAGCCTGCGATGACCGCATTGCAAACTTCCTCAAATTACTTTCATGTTCCTTTATTACACATTTTCCCCTCCTCTTTCGCTGGTAAGCCTCCTCTACATTGTTCTCTCTCTACAGAAACTGGAGGAGTTTTTACATTTTCAGCCCTTTAACCACACAGTCACGACCGCCTTCCAGCCTGGCGCAACGGTCTCCTCAGGCAGACTAGAGGCAAAAGACACTGATGGTTTCAAGGAGTTAAGAGTAAGAGCGCTTTGGTAAAAGCTGCTTGAAGGCGTCAGTTGTTGTATACACACACAAAAACCACAGTTAGAGATGCTAAACGCCCAGCGAGTTTTCAGTAAAGCTCTGGACAACTAAGGCATTTAGTCAAAGCAGTGCATTAAGTATTACATAGATAGATTATTTTTCCTTGAAGGGAAATTAGGTAATAACAATATAATGAGCTGATATTTAGTAGGAGTAATGTTTCATACATTATGAGTTTTATACAATGTGTATACAAGCTAACGTCTCGTATTTAGCACCAAGTGGAGCTGGAGCTTTTGGAATGTACGTTGTTTGGCAGATTTATTTTTTTTTTAAATCACAGGAAAAAGTTCGGTAAAAACGTTCAAGGCAACAAAAATGGAGGTCAAACCTGCCATCCGGTGCCACTAGAGCAAAGAAATTAGAACACCTACATCCACAAGGTGCTGCACTTACGCGGGACATTCGCGCGAGGCTTAATTCTCCATTCGGGAGGTGGACGTGTGAATCATGGACCTACAGACTGCATGGAGTGTAAGGAACACTGGCAACCTGGCAGCCATCAGGCACTAAGTCTGGGCAGATATTCGACCTAATGGAGAGCTGATTAGCCTGGACTTGGTGGTTCTGTAAACGGTGCAACTGGCACTACGGATCAACTTCAAATTAAAAAAATTAAAAAATAATCAAAAGAACATTGCATTAATGCTTATACCCCCCCCCCCCCAAGATCTTCTTCAGTTACGAGAAGACGGAGCTGCGCTGATTGGCTTCTCCCACTTTCTCAAAGAACATGAAGTCCTGCGGAGAAACAGAAAGAAGATAAATGAGACACTAAACCGAGTGAGACGGCACGAGATGAGAATCCGCTCTGGTCCCTGATGGGGGGTCTTACGATGAGGAAGCAGGCGCCCATGAGCACGGCCTTCATCTTCACGTCCAGGTCCAGCGGGAACTGGATGCCGAAGTTGTCCGTGTCGGTGAAGACCTCTTTCAGCAGGCCGCTCCACTGCTTACTGATGCGCCCGATGGGTTGGTCCCCGTCCTTCGTCTTCAGCTGGAACACAAATGCACAGAAAGTCTTAAACAAGGAGCAGGCTTCTTCTCCATTCTTTGCTTTTGTCAAAAATGATGAAACACAAAGCTGGCGGGAGCTAAGAATCGACACATAGTATCTCAAGTCCCTGCATCCAGACAAGAAAAAAAAAAGCTACACAATTCCTCCATTCAACCGAAAAGGTTTTTTATAAGGTTATTTTTTGTGAAGCTTAACCGTTTAAAGCCTGACCCAAGAATAAAACAAAACAGAAAATTACTTTTTTTTGGGTTTGAATTCCTTATTTGGCCTTTTAACAAAATAAGTAAAAACAAAAATACATTTTTAATATTACCAATTTATTACTATGCGATAAGTCAAGATTATTTTTTGTGTAGTCTTCTGCCCCCTGTTATCAGGTGTATCTGATAGTGTACAATAGGATTTTGAGCAAAGTTTTTACCATTAAATTATGCAAAAGGTGTCAGACGCAAAACATTTCAGAAACCGTATGTATCAAATATGATACATTTGGCATTACAGAGTTAAAAACAGAATATGTGGGCCGCAGCCGTAGCCTAATGGCTAGAGCGGGCGGCCCATATACAGAGCCTTTGCTCGTAAGCGGGTGGCCGTGGGTTCGAATCCGGCCCACGGCCCTTTCCCGCAGGTCTCCCCCTCTCTATCTCTGCCCCCTTTCCTGTCAACCTACTGTCATTAAAGGCCACTAGAGCCAAAAAAAAAAAAAAAAATATGTCAGGTGGGATTTGATGGCAGGAATTGGAAAGCGTGAGGTTAGCTTTGTTTCCGTGACGCATGCTCCTTGGACTGCTGTGAATGTGTCTCCATCTCAGGATCTCTGCTCAGGTACAGAAATTTCTTACATTAACCTGACGCTTACCTCAAAGTTGACGTCCCCGCAGCAGTTGCAGGCAAAGCAGGGCCCCTCCAGTTTCATTAGGGTCTCCTTATTCGCTCCGAGGATGGAAAACTTGGGCAGGAAGGGGTGCCAGTCCTGCTGGACGTACCCGACGGTGGTGCCTGGCGGGGCCTGCACCTCCATCTGCAGAGGACACGCTCAAGTTAGCCGTGCAACATCAGACATGTTTCACACCTCCCCGCTGACGGCTGTACATAAAACCTCACGAGGCTTCCTCTGAGAAACCACGCTAGGATAACGTATCTGGCACGCCAGAAGAGTGAGCGATTGGGCTCCGGCCAGAAGGAGGCAATGCGCGCAGCCTGGTAATGAAGTGAACGAGCCGGGTGGGAGAGGCCTCGGCGGAGGAATGGGAGCGGATCGGGGAGTCGAGGGGATGGCCGGGGGATGGACAAAGGGCCGTGTGTCTGCGCACAGACGCGTCGAAACACAGCGAGCAGCAGGACGGCGGCAGGACAGACAGAGAGCCTCTGATACGGGCCGTGAGGCCGCAGGTTTTTAGGAGCCAAATGGAGAGAAACCAGGTTACTGACAGAACAATGCGCGGCGCTGGGAGAAAAAAGGACTTTCCCAGCACAGATGTTAAGTTACCAGGTTACATCAGGGGGTAGATCCAAAACTTTGTAAGACCAGCACAACAGTCTAAACAGGCTGTTTGTGACACTCCACTCACCGACTCATTTTCAGCCACAATTTTCATGTGTTTAACGATCAAAAACTCATTTCTTGATTAAAAAAGAAAAAGGCTGGAACTTTTAAGCCCTAGAGTGGACATTAGCACAGCACCCCCCAATCATGATGAGCAACGAAAAGTCAATCTAACAGGTCGGACTGGCTTCAAACACTGGTGTAGCCTGAACTCCAACACCAAATATATGCTGTAAAGCACCGAAAAGAAGCAACATTTCCAAAAGATGCTCCGTCTAAAACCTGCTTACTTCACAATGACTGGCAGCATGTTGTTTTCCTTAATAATGTGTCACATATACACTGCACCTCAGCTTGTTATGGAGGATAGAGATTGGACTCTAAACAATGGAGCTAGGTCACGTGAGCCCAGACCTCTGGACGCATAAAATCTGTGATGGCAGCATTATGACATCAGATCGCTTCAGTCGGTCATGTCTCAGGTATCTGAGTGCTAAAGAAATGAGGTCAGCCAACATCCTAAATATCCAGAATGACCAGTTTTTTTTTTTTTTCCATCCAACACATTTTCCACCCTGATGACTCAAGCAAATTCCAATATGGCTCAATCAGGACACACCAGACAAGCGCAGCTCAAAAAGGCTCAATCAAAGCACGATCCACGCAGGGGGAAACTTTTTCCGCTCTTCATTTTTATTATTTCAGCCGGCGAGTGGTTTCCTTCATCTCTTTTCTGTATTTGGGTTTTTATCTACTGTTTTTTTTACCATGTTTCTAGAATCTTTTTGCATTTTTGGAATATTTTGATGAATAAATATACCTTTTTTCCCCCAACCAGTCAGTCAAGTTTAATTTTATCAACCTGTTGCCTTGAATGAAAAAGGCAGAATTTTCCGTCCATCCATAATTCACCGGCAGTGAAGTTAAACATTAACAGCCGCAATAATCGCACACTATATACCACCTCATTAGTTGCTGGTATAGGAACCTTTATCTATGTAAGATGGAAAAATATTAGCCTAGGTGTGGTAAATCCATACAGTACGGTACTTAAACAACTTTTTATGAAATCTGCTGAGTCATGTGGATGTGTTAGGGCACCGACCTCTTGGAGGCAGCAGGGACAACAGCAGGAGACGCAGCGGAAGGGCCGGATGAGGCGGATGACTTCCCGGTCCATGTTGTCCTTGATCTTCATGTCGAAGCTGCGCAGAGAGCCGCAGCAGTTCCTGGTGCAGCAGTCGTTCTTCTCCTTGGCCTTGTAGATTTTTTGGCCGAGGCTGTTCTTTATCTCATACTGGTTGTTTGTCTC